TATATTTATTGGCTGGCTATTTTTCAATTCCTATTTGTATAATAATTTTTGAGTTCAGTTTTTTAATCGATTCAATTAGTTTTTCATTAATGAAATGTTCGCATAAGGTGTTATTTTTCAGTTTTAATAATCGTAGTTAACGCAAATTTATTTTCCCTGAGTGGTTCTACTACAATTGAATTATTTGTCAAAAAAGATATTTCCAAATTATTAGGATGTGTAGTCAAATCCATGCAAGTATTCATAATAGGTTCTACTGTTTTAGTAAGTTTTTTCTTCTTAGAAAATTTCATTTCCAATAATGTCTGTAGCGACACTACTGCCAGTGCAATAAACATAATATCTCTGATTACTTGAATTGGAATTATGAAATATATGATCAACGTCGTTATCACGAAAAATAAATCCGAATCCATTTTTCTTTTTTTTTTTTTGTAAATGTATACACTCAAAATTTGAAATTTTTATGTCATACTCTTGTTCAAATTACTAAGTTCTTTACCCTAAATCTAGGGGAAAATGAAATAAAAAACTGGTACACTAGTAGTATGGGCGGTGATGTTCTATTTTTATAATTAAATTAACTAATAACAAATCTAAATTTAAATTAGATAATTTTGCCTGAAGTACAATAAAAAAAAATGTCAGTCACAAATCATACATGTTCAAAAATACTATAAAGATTACAAATTCTTTTATATAATATATCTCAAGTCATAGTCAAAATTATTACAAATTATTAAATGATCTAAAAGACAAATAAAATAAATAGAAAATGAGGGAGAAAATAATCTCTGACACTGCTTTATTGACTATGTTCTATTGGACCAAGGACTAGGAACGTATTTTGTAATATTTAATATAATAAAATGGTTATCACTGCAATAATTCTCAAACGAATAACTTGACATCGGTCAATATAGATCTAGGTCTTTTATACAGAGTCTTGAGACTACTAAGCACGTCTAAATTGGTCCAATATAGGTGAGGTTTTATTACACTCACATCACAACAATAATTAACGTACTAAAGAAAACAATATTTTACAACAAACAATTTACGAATAGTCAATGAGCAAAAATGTGTCAGAAAGAGAAGATAGAATAGAATAATCATATTAAAATAATTAAAGTATATTAATGTAATTAAAGTTCATATTCAAAGAAACCTCGTGACAATGCACGAATACAGAAAAAAACGAATGGATGAAATAAAGAGACGGGAATGTTGTACAAAGTTACCAAAATTATAATACCAAGATGTCCAGGCCGTAGCCAACAAACGAGTCTTCACTCATGGCTCAATTGCAAGGGCCAAAAGTAGAAGTTAAGCAGCCATTAAAATGTAAGTGTACTTAGCAATAATAATGGCTGGAAAAAATTTATTTCACGACCAGGCCAAAAACACATTTGAACAAAACGAGAACAAACGACTGAATTATTTAGGACGATTTAATTTAGTTATTATTGAACTTAAATGTAATAAATTATTTTTGATTCCCCACGAAATTAATACTACCTAGACAATCACACCGCATTACCAATTGCTGAGCAGTTACACTTAATTATATGATGTTTACCAATAACTAATAATTTAATTAACTTATTGTGTTAAACAATACTAATAATGAATAGGTCAATTTTTTACGTCACAAGGTTTTGTGTAATACTAGAGCATATGCCAGCTAGTAATTTGAAGCAAAA